GTGTGTGGGGGGGGGGGGGGAATCTGCCGATTGATGTGATGAATGCATAGCTTTGACTTGACGTGAAGGCGAGCATCATGACCGCAGGAGCACACCACAAGAGGGCAAACATTTGCTACAACGATCAACGATCCCTTGTGTCCACAACTCCGCATCCATCCATCCACCCCAGCCAGCCACCCGATTAGCTAGCTCTTCTTGCCTCCGCCCACTCTGATCTTGTCCTTCTGGTCAGAAATCGCCTTGGCCAGCTGCTGTATCTCTTTGGTAGACATGCTCTCCCCCGTGTCGCCACTGGCCTCCCTCATCTGCACCAGTGTGCCCGTGGGGTCAAAGGGCTCCTGAACACCACACAACACACGACCAATATGTGATCGATCTGGTTTCTCTCTCTCTCCTTCTCTCTCTCCCTCTCCCTCCGTGAGCCTACGATGGCTTCAACGTGATAAGTGAAGTTGAACTCCTCGCCAGGGGTGAACTTTTCTCTCAGCTCGTCGCGTCTTTCGGTGGTGGTGAGCTCGTCGGCGAGGGTGAGCAGCTCGAGGGCCTTGAATTCCTGCTCGAAGATGCCCGGCAGCTCCTTGACCATCATCTTGGGAAAATCGTCCGCAAGGAAAGATCCTGGGAATGAGGTGAGCCGAGCGGACAGACAGGGAGGGAGAAGGGCATGTGTGTGTGGGGGGGTCTCTCACTTACTGATCATGCTGCCGTAGTATGGCGGCACCTGTCCCGCCCTGAAGCCCTTCTGCGGCTTGGTCTTGGACTCCTTGGCCGCCTGATTCATCATCCTGTCGTAGCTCTTCTGTGTCATCCGACCTGCACACACACACACACACACAGTGGCTGTGGTGTGGGGTGGTGGGATGTGAAATTCAGTGGGTGTGCTACCGCCTACCGGGGAATTTGACGGTGGCCGCGAACCTGGTCTTCCGCTTCTTGCGGCTGGGATACTCCTCGAGCACCTCCAGACGAACCAGGTCAAAGTCCTGACTGTCTTCCGCACAACACACACAACACACACAAGGGGGGAGATCAGATCTGCTATGGTGTCCGTATTGACTCGTTCGTCGTACGTGGAGACGATGACGGCTCCCACATCAGGGTTTTCGAGGAAGTCCTTAGCTCCGGGATCGATGCCCTCCATGGCTGCTGTTGCTGTGGCGTTGCCTCCCACTGATGGTGCTGGTGGTGCTGACGATGGTGGTCCCTCTGCCGTCTTCTGCTGAGTGGTTGCCTGTGCCTTGGCGGACGCCAGCAGCTCGTTGGTCAGGTCGGCGGACAGAGGGGGAGGGGCTGATGCAGACGCCGATGGTGATGATGGGTCGAGGCTGACCTGCAGGTCGCTGTCAGCATCTTTCGCTGCTCCTGCTGCTGCTGCTGCTGCTGATGATGATTGCGAGGACGCTGTTTCACTCATCATCACCGTCGTTGTGGATGTGGAGAGAGGGATGGCCATGGCCGTCTTTCTCCTGCATCGATGGCGGTTCAGCCGCCCGCCTGCTGCACACAGAGGGAGGGGGAGGGTGAAGGCAAGCTGTAGCTGTGGCTGTGGGAGGTCAGAGAGGAGCTCAGGGGCCCTCCTGAGTGAGGTGGCGACGGCTGACGACGTCCAGATAAGGTGCAGGCAGGAGAGCGGCACGGCGGACAGCAGCCTCATCACAACCATGAGTGCATCTACCCGGATCTCCGATAGATCTTCAGAGAGAGAAGCAAACGACGCCAGAGAATGGCTTCGTTGAGCTCGCCTGCCGCGAAGGCGCTGAAGATCTCTGTCAGAGGCTGCGTGGTTGGGGTAGATCCCGTGTAATGCAACTGCATGCTGAGAACCCTGAGCACTCCGAACTGTCCCTCCTTCTCGTGAACCGTCCCTCTGGCTCATCTGTTGCCTTAACGGGCAACGACAGCGATCCTCCACAGCCACTCTCATCTACCGACAATCTCGTGTGCGGCAGGTTCACCGCTGTCGGCAATGGAGGATGAGTTCAACCGCGCCAAACAGCGGCTGGAGAAGAGGCAGCAAACAGACCGACAACGTGCCCGTCGGGAGCACCAGCACGCCGTGGAGGCTCAGGTAAGCCGCCCAGCAACAGATCTAATGTGTTTGTTTGTTTGTGTGTGTGCGTGTGTTGATTGATCTCTCTCTCTCTGTGTATGTCGTGTGGTGGGACCTCGGTTCTCCCAGCAGCAGGCAGCTCACCGATATGACTCGTCCATCGAGGCAGCTCGCGCCCGACGTGCAGCGGAGATCGCATCCCGCCCTCCCCCGCCGCCATCGTCAGCAGCTCATGCGTCAGGAGGGCGGCCGGGATTGCCGTCTGACGCCGACGAAGTCAGGTACGAGACGACTCTCGTGGCTGTAGAAGGAGATCTGGAGGGAGAGAGGGAGGGCGGTGTGCCGAGTGGCCCTGGCACGTTGCAGCGACTGCAGTCAAGGATGGAGAGCGCTGACAGGATCATACTCGTGAGTGATTGACACACACACACACACACACACACACAGAGAGAGAGAGAGAGAGAGATCGCATAGACACACACGAGATCTGTCTGTCTGTCTGTCTGTCTGTCCATGTGTGTGACCGACCTGCAGCCGTCGAGTGTGCTGTCCTCCCTCGACTCGTCTCCCTTCCGCGACCGTCTGGAGTTCCCACTCCTCTTCAAACTCACAGCCGTGGCCACCGGCAGACACACACACGCCGGAGTGCTCGAATTCTCAGCAGCTGAGGTCACACAGACACACAGACACAGACACAGCCAGACAGACAGACAGATGTCCATCGGTGGTGGTCGGATGGTTTCTCAGCACACGGTGGTGTTGCCGGCCAAGGTGCGCGCCTGCCTGGGGCTGCCCTTTGGTGACCAAACTGAGGCGGCCAAGTGGGAGGGGCTCGGCGATGACGCCGATCTGACGACGGCCGTCACAGAGGGAGAGGGAGGAGATTCCATGCAGGTGTGTAACGAGCCATATGACACGGGAGGAGATGCTGACCCATTTATTGTGTGTGTCTGTGTGTGTGTGCAGGTTGATGGCGAGAGGGAGAGGGAGAGGGATGTGGCGATGCCGCCGAGGGACAGCACCTCGTCGGAGGTTAAGGTGGAGTATGCCCCGCTGCCCAAAGGTCCGTCCTTATGTGTGCAGCCCCCCCCCCCTCCTCTCCCCCTCTGTCTGTCTGTCTGATGTAGGCACATTTGCCAAGGTTCGAGCACTCGACGCCGCCGTGCAGGACATACCCGACTTCCGCGTATGTGCGTCGATTAGAGAGAACGACAAGAAACTCATTCTCTCTCTCTCTCTCTCTCTGTGTGTGTGTGTGTGTGTGTGTGTGCGTCAGTCGACTTTGGAGTCGCACCTGCGTCTGCACCACGCGACCCTGACAGTGGGCGATGTGCTGCGTGTGGGGGCCATCCCGCTGAAGATACTCAGCGTGCTGCCCGACGACAACGACGCCCACGCCATCTCAATCATCGACACCGAGGTGCGTGAAGAGCACATCTGGTGTGGTGTGCCATTTATGCGCTCTCGTGTGGTGTGTGTGGTGCAGCTGGCCGTCGATCTGGACGTTCCCGCGCTGAGTCGACACGAAGTGCCGCCTCTGACACTCGGGAAGGTCCCCGCACCCACACACCCCCAATCCACCGTCCCTTCATCGGAGGGTTCATTATGTGTGGCTGCAGCCGGAGAGCTTTACCGTGGGCAAAGGCGAGCTGCGACGGTTCCGCTCGCCCATCCCTCCAGGGGCGCTGACGTCGCTGGAGAAGGGCCTCTCGCAGCTCACATTCACGCTCGCGACAGAGCCGCCAGGTCGGGCCGGTCGGCCACACACACAGACATAGAGACTCAGATGCGTGTGTGGGTGGATGGCTGTGTGTGTGTTTCAGATGGTGCTGATTTGTACTTGTCTGTGCCGCCGGTCACGGAAGCGGCCCCTCACCAGCACCATTTTGCGGACTTTGCCGCGGGCACAAAGGTACGATCGGCTGCAGACAGACAGAAAGAAAGACAGATCGTCATTGGGCCCCTCTCTCTCTGTGTCTGTCTGTCTGTCTGTCTGTCAGACGCTGTCCATCTCGTCAGAGGAGATCAGGGAGGCACTCAACTCACACCAAGTAAGCAGACTCACACACACACACACACACACAGACAGCATCCCTCCCTCCCTTTCTCCCTCCCTTGCAGTCCCAGGTGCTCTCCTACGCCCCCTTTGGCGCGATGGAGAGCTCGCCCTCACTCAATGGTACACATGGGCACACACACACACCCGCACACACACACACACATCTGCCTGTGTGTGTGTGGGTGTGTGCAGAGGGCCAGCAGTCGTTGTCTTGGCCGTCCGCCATCTTTGTGGGCGTGCACGGCTTCATCGACCACACCACGTGTGACGTCACCGTGGCCATCGAGGACGTCAAGGCGCGGCAGACGGAGGGCACCGACGACGGCACCAACGCCACCACCAGCGGTGCGGTGTCTGTCTGTCTGTCTGTGTGCATCAACCCCTCTCTGTCTCTCTCTCTCTGTGTTATGTTAGGTGTGGAGAGGGAGGTGCTATGGTCAGGCCGTGTAAGGTGCTCCAACTGCCACAAGCTGGTGCCGGAGGCCTCCCTCGACCTGCATCTGCTGCACTGCCAGAGGCACTGCCAAGTGTGCCCCATCTGCCAGGCTGTGCTCAAAAGGTGACAATCTGGCATTAACACACACACACACACAGGGAGAGAGAGAGAGGGGATTGTCTTCGTTCGTTGTGCAGGTCGGAGTTCGCCTCTCATTGGCACTGCCCAAAGTGTTCCCAGGCGATGCACGTCGACCAGGCTGCCAAGGTTAGTGAGTGTCAGTCATCGTGGCCCACCCATTGGACCCTCTGTGTGTGTGTCTGTGTCTGTGTGTGTCAGCACATGGAGGTGTGGCACACACTGATAAAGTGCGAGTGCGGCCAAGAGATGGAAAGATCACAACTCACAGTAACCAACCCCCCCCAGCCCCACCCCCACCGACAGCCCCTTTTCATCTTCGCTCTGTGTATATCATATCAGGCGCACAAGCGCACAGAGTGTCCTCGGCGTCTGGTGCTTTGTCGGTTCTGCGGCAATTACTTCCCCGCCGGGGACGGGCGGGGCCTCGACCACCGGGACAGATTGCGGGGCCTCACCTCACACGAGGCCTACTGCGGGTCCCGCACGGCCGAGTGCCACCTGTGCGGCAAGAACATACAACTCAAGGTAGGTGGGGTGGCAGGGAGGCGTAGAGAGGGAGAGGGAGAGGGGCGATGTTTGTGTGTGTGTGTGTGTGTGTTGTGTGTGCAGGAGATGGACTTACATATGCAGGTGGCACACACGCTGGCCGAAGTCGACAGGGACATGATGCCGCCATCTTCGCACCCCGCCCCCGCCCCACCACCAGCAGCAGCACGACCACCCCCACCACCAGCGCCCCGGCCGTCAAAGTGTCGCAACATGCCGTGTGACGAGCGGCCGGGCGGTGAGAGCGACGGCACTGAGTCCGACGGGCTGTGTCCAAGGTGCCGCGCTTTGCTGGACAGCATGGAGGCCCGCACGAACCCGCAGCAGCTTGTGAGTCGGTACTTCGTGCAGCTGACCAAGGGGTGCGGCAGCAGGGCCTGCACCAACACTGAGGCATGCTGCACTGCATCAGGGTGAGGAAGCGAACGAACGCCACACGTCTGTGAGTCATGACCATGTCGATGTCGGTGTGTGTGTCTGTGTGCCTGTGTGCCTGTGTGTGCGCAGTGGTCCGCCGGTGGATGCGCCGTCAGCTGCCGTCAAGGTGCTGCAGCTGGCCAGGGCGGCGCCGCAGATCTACTACGTGTGTCTCTGGTTCTCGTGACTCACTGACTCACTGACGCCCACGAGGGAGGGAGGGACGCAGTGAGTTGTGTATGGGTGGGCGCTTTAGTGAAGGGAACTTGAAGACTCGTTCGTTCGCTGGCTTATTGATCTCGCCACACCACACAGGCGTCCGAAGATCCATCCATCCATCCATTCAGCCGTTGACACACACGCCTTCATTCACCCCGTCCACGGCCTCAATCATTCTGTCGGTCTGTCTGTCTGTCGGTCGGTCGGTATGTCTCTTGTATCGCAGCCCCCGCCCCCTCTAGCAATACGTACTGACATACAAACGGCCATTGACCTCCCTGAGCCATTTATTCAATTTTGAGACTGTGACATCCATGACGGGCCGTGACGTCCCGCCCCCTCACTCCCTGTCTGTCTGTCTGTCTGTCGTCCGCTGCTGTTGACCGAGCCCACGAACAGACCACATTTGATAGAGCAGGAAGCATTTTGTGTGCGTGCATCGATGTCCCCATTTGAGTGCAGGACGGGACGGAGATTGAGAGCCCTCCCAGCGGCCCGCAAGGTGGGACGGAGACTGAGAGCCCTACACACGACAAGGTGAGTGGGCAGCACAGGCCGTGGATGGAGCCACTGTGTCTGTCTCCCTTTCAGCGAAGTTTGTCAAAAGCATCAAGGAAGGCCTCAAGCTACTTGCTGAGGGCTTGTTGACAGTGTTGAATACAGGTTCAGCTGCGATATGGCCTCAGGTTTTCCTCATATATATCATTCAGCGGAGCGTGGATAACATAGAGGCACAGCAATCTGTGGCTCCACTTCTGTCACAGCTGCAGAGAGTTGCCGCCGAGGAGATCATTCTGTTGGCAGGCTCTCTCCAACTTCTCTCATTCGTTGCCCTCAAAAAGTTTTTCCCCAAAAGCGGAGAGGAAGAGTGAGTGAGCGAGTGAGTGAGTGGGGATGGGACGGACCGTTTTGTGGCACGTGCACATGTGCACTTCAAGTGGATTTGAATTCATTTTTCATTCATTACAGTCCCTTACACCCCCCCACCCACAACGCACAAACCCGACAAACAATCCGTTAACGTAGAAAAAGCAGTCGGCCCCATGGCATGTGTCACCTCACCCCCTCCCTACATCGACATCTACACACACACACATTCGTCAGCCAGCCCGCGCAGCCCCTTCCCCCCCTACACACACACACACATTCGTCAGCCAGCCCGCGCAGCCCCCTCCCCCCCTACACACACACATACTACGTCAGCCAGCCCGCACAGCCCTCACCTGCCCCCGTCAGCCACCTTCCAAAGGAGCAAACATATAATCCATAGTGGCAACAAACAGCCAGGAGAGGAAGGCCATTCCGACGCAGGCGAGGAGAATACCAGCTACTGCCGCACCGGCCTCTCTCACGACAGCCTCCTCCCACGTTTCTGCAGCCCTCGCATCCACACCAGACAGACATTGCACGAGCAAACTCACCAATGAACCCCTGCAGGAGTGCGTGCGTGTGGCGTGTCTGCGTGCCTTTGGTCTGCTGCAGGGTGAGGCGTCTTTTGGTCTCCTTGAGTCCCTGGAACTTGTTGAACTCGGCCATGAAGCGAGCATTCTCTTCGAAGGTCCGCAGCCTCCGGTCCACCTCAGCCATCCGCTGCTCACCTGATTGCTGCACAGACAGACAGACAGACAGATAGCCATTCATCAGAGTGCATGTGTGTGTGGCGACATAGATGTCATTCAGTCACCTTGGTTGGCGGTTGGTGGCTCTCATCTGAGAGGCCAGATCTGTGTGTTTGGTGGCGCGGGAGAGGCGGACGGGCGGCGCGACAAAGGCGGACACCGCGATGGCCGGCAGCCCTCCGTTGTCAACAGAATAAGACACACGACTAACACCGTCGCTGATGAGGGCATAATGCTGGAGTTGATGCTGCGCTTCTTGTGCATGGCGTGCTGGTGCTCCCGGCGGGCACGTTGTCGGTCCCTTTGCTGCCTCTTCTCGAGCCGCTGTTTGGCGCGGTTGAACTCATCCTCCATTGCCGACAGCGGTGCGGTAGCTGCCGCACACGAGATCCAAGGCCTTCCTGTGACGGGATGGACGTCGGAAGATCGCTGCAGTGCGAGCTTAGCTTCGAGGAAGAATCTCGCGTCTGATCTAGAGATGTATTCGCACACAGGTCATGGCACACAGGCGAAGGCACAGGCAATCACAGAAACACAGGTAACCAATACTGCTGAAGGGCGACGGACTCTTGCCTGCCTGTTGTGATTGATTCATCGCACGACCTGTGTGTGTGTGTGTCTGCTGCAGGTGTGCCTGGCGCCGATTGAGAGGGCAGACTGGCAAGGCCAAGGCAAGAGTGCATCCTGTGCTTCTCACCCGGGCATGTGAGGACATGCCAGCATCCCACCGTCACCGACGAAGCGGACCATCAGCCGAGCCCCTGCGCTCATCATCCCCAATATAGGCTCGCCTTCGTTGCCGCGCATAATGACACTCGTTATCTTCTCGTGCGGATTGATATTCGGCATCGCTCTCGCCCTGCTGATGGCCAGCCTGAGGTGCTACGACGAATACAATGCCGCCCGGGCAGAGCTGGAGAGCGTCCGCAGCAAACTCAAGTGAGCACACGATGCTGCGCAAAAGGCCCGGCAAGATGACACTGGGCTGTCTCTGTGTCATCCATCCATCTTTCAGGGCGGCGATCACGCAATTGCAGATGGCGGCGTCCTGTGAACGCTTCGAAAGGTCGATGGAGGAGATCCTCCCGAAGATGGAGCAGGCCAAGTGCGGCCCACGTCAGCCTGGACGGACTAGCGAGGGGGGGAAAGACTCGCGCCGGGACGCTGGTGGTGGTGGTGGTGATGCTCCGCCGGCAGTCGGGGCAGATGAGTCGGACGGTGAAGAGGACGCGGTTGACGGAGGTGGCAGTCTCTCGCTGCCGCCACTGAATGCCGGTAGGCAGAGCGGGAAGGAGGACGGTTGTATGTTCGTTTGGATGGATGGATGGATGGATGGATGGATGGGTGGATGGATAGTTGTAGCGCTTGGTCTACTGGTGGTGCTGGTGGGGATGAATGCGTTAATCGAGCAGGCAAGCTGTATGATTCATGCCATTCATTCCTGACTTGTTTTGTTTGGTACATATCATATGCGTCTGTCTGTATGCAGCTGTGCCAGTCGAATCGCCACGGCACGGATGCATACATGTTGGTACGGATGCCGTGTGTGTCAATTGGAGAATCATCGAATGCCACATATGGTTGAGTATTGGATGGATTGCAGTCACATATCTCGGGCAGCTCTGGCCTGACGATTGACCAACGCATTTCTCTGCACGGCTGGCTGGTTCGTCCCATCTACCGGTACGCAGGCAGCCGTACACACATGTGCTCGACCGACATGAACAACCTGGTGCTCTGTGATAGGTCTTCCCGCGACGGCACCTCTTATGCCGATATGCTCCGCTGTGTGGGCGACAACACGAGTCGCATAGTGTTTATCATCTGGAAGGATCAGTACGTCTTCGGCTGTTACATCAGTGGCGGCCTGCGGCTGCCCGACGACCACAATGGCGTGAAAATGCAATGGTGCGATGTGTGGTATTTCTCACTGGCCGGGCACTTCGCCAGGCCGACCATGATCGACCTACGAGGCCGAGGGTGGCAGTTTGTGGAGGTGGCGGGGAGAGGGGGGCTGTAGATGGCTGTGCGAAGGTATATGTGGGTGGGCATCTGTATTTGGGCTGCGATGGCACTGGTCGGCCTGCTGCCGACATCCGCCGCTGTCGTCAGTTCACCCTCAGCAGCCATGTACCTTACGGTTACACGGGAAAGAAGAACCAGCATGGCCATGCGGTGCTGGGTGGGTCGACTGAGTTTCATGCTGACGATATAGTGATATTGCACGTTGGGCAGTGAGACAGTGAGGGAGAGAAATAGGTGGGGCTGTATGTGGTTCTTGTCGTCGAGTTTAATCCGGGATGTGGTGTCTTATATTTTTTCTCTTTTCTGTTTCTGTTCCCTCTCTCCTCTGTCACGTTCCCTCTCGGCTCTGTCCCGTTCCCTCTCGGCTCTGTCCCGTTCCCTCTCGGCTCTTTCTGACTTTATAGATCCTGTGTTTTTGTAGTATATGTCGAAGTCCAGTGTCGGACGCAATGTCTTTACGAGCTGCACGAGACGCGATTGTATAGACGTCAAACCAAACATGCATCTTTTCGCCTTTGTTCCTTAACTCGAGTACAGGGCCACCCATGTGCGTGTGCTGTTTTCAATCGACCGGTCGGTCCTTAGTGAGCGCGCATTATATGAAGCCCGTGTTGGTGACTTTTGTGCCGGTGTGAACCTCAGTCTGACAGGAAAAAGTCTTACATCTCCGGAAGTTAACTGTCGTCCATCCCAAGAGCAGCCCCCTGTGAGCAGCCCCCTGTCTGTTTGTTTCCATTGTTCTGCCTTTGTGCGTGTGTGTGGGACACATGCACAAAGGCTGAAGAATGGAAACAGACAGATATGGGGCTGCACTCAAGCACTATGTACAGCCATAGTTCGTTGGGTACGACAAATAAACCACCAACCGTCCACCTACAAAATGTCCATGTGGTCGGCCCATACTCCCTCCCTCCCTCCATCCCTCCCTCCCTCCACATACATCAATCCTGTCCACATACACAGATCAGCCATATCACATCGCAAGGGGCAACGGGACCCCCACACCCCAAGGCATTGATTGCGTCATGCCTCCATCTCTCCATCTACTGGAAGCTGAAAGACGCGAAGCCCGTCACATCGTCCCGCGGCAGCACCTGACTGCTGACGGCATACGACAGCAGCCGGCCGCCACTCATCCCCAGACACCGCGCAACCTCCATCGTCAGCACGGTGGCGTGCAGCCCGCACATGCTGCACTGCGTCCTCTGCTGCTGCTCCACCACACGCTGCGCATCGAAGCTCTTGACAGCGGACAGCACCGGGCCGTCCTGCGATTGAGTGTACGCCAGCAACTCCGCTGCAGACACAGACCCATGTTGCCGTTGTGGTCGGCCAGACGGCAGCTCGCCATAGCCGGCGCCAGCGTGTGTGAAGTCTGTGGTGCCGATAACGACGACCGTTCGGGGGGTTTGGCGGATGCAGCTGGCGATGCGCTGGGCCCACTGTGGGGCTGAGGTGAGGTCCAAGGCGCTGCTGACGAGCAGCGGGGCGATGTGCAAGTTGTGGGAGCCGCAGACTTCGTGCAGGAACGGCAGCTGGTTCCTGCAGACGGACACAGCCAGAGAGGCAGATACAACCAGCCCATCCATCCATCCATCCATCCACATTCAGCCACTCACTGACTCACTCTATGCTGTGTTCTTGGTCATGGTAGAGCTCTGCAACTGGGATCCCCTGCTGCGTCAGTCGGCTGATGAGCCCTGCGTCGGGGTGGAAAGTGCCAAAGGGAAGGAGCCAGGGCTGGGCGCTGAGGCAGAGGGGCGGGGCGGGCCGGTGGCTGGTGCCGATCATGAGGGCCGTCTGTGGGCAGACGGCCGTGAGATGGGCAGCAGAGCTCAGCGCCGCATAGCCGCACGCCGTGACAGGGCCCGCGTCGCACAGCGCCCCGTGTGGCACCAGCAATGCGACCGGGAAGTCCGCACCCGGTGCTGCGTTGTCAGGGTCGCTGGCGTGGCGTTGAGAGGGAGGGATGCTGCCTGGGCCGAATGTGGGGTGGTTGAAGCAGAAGGAGATCTCTTCTTGGAGGAGCGTGGGGTCGGCGCTGAAGTACTGGCAGAGCGGGCGGCGCATCATAGGACGGAGGCGGGCGATTGGCGGGAGGGGCAGGGTGTACTCGTCAAACTCGTCGGCAAGGTGGATTGGAGGAGAGATCCCAAAAGCAGCACGCAGAGTGTTCAGCTGTGATGGAGAAGCGCTCCTTCCCCCTCCCCTCGGTCGCCTCCCCCTGCGACCATTGCCCTGCGAGCTTAGCTTCGAGATCTGGCCTGCGTTCTGGGGAACAGCGAAGGGCCGCACTGCATCCCCTCTCGCTGCAGCAATGAAGCTTTCATCCGGCATCCTACCCCTGCTGCCATTATTCATCGCGGCAGCAACTGACGCCTTTACCCCTCCTACCCACCGCAGTCAGTCCCCACCTCAGTCGTCCTTCTTGCGCCACCAATGGCGGCGGCCACGCCAACCACCAAGAGCCCATCCTCCGCTGTGTATGCGGTCTCAGGGGATGCTTGAGTTCCCTTCGTCGTGGAGCGAGGGAATGGACTTCAGGTTCTTCCCCGTGTTTGCAGAGGAGCTGTCCAATGAGGCCATACCCCTCATGCTGGGGTTCGAGGACACGCTGACCTTCCAGGTTTGGTGCGTGTTTGTGCAGTGCGGTGCACTCGGACGGGCAGACAGACAGACAGACAGACAGGTGGATGAATGGATGAGTGTGTGTTGTGCATCGATGGCTTGTGGCTCTGTCTGTCTGTCGCCTGTAGGGTCCGAACATCGACAGTGAGTTCGACAAGATCGTCCGCACGCCTGAGGACGTCTTCGGCGTCTGCTTCTTCCACCCACAGAGCATACAGGTCCTCCCTCTCGCCGTATACGCAAAGGTAAGTAAGGTGGGTTGGGTGAGGTCACTCACACACACACTCAGGCACACACACAGCCACAGCCATCGTTCGCCCACACTCGTCCATCACACACGACACGATTGCGTCACTGGCTGGCAGGTGTTGGAGAAGACGCCCTTTGAGGTGGACGGCCAGACGGTACTCAACGTCAAGGCGCGAGTGGTGGGGCGAGTCATGATCGAGGCCGTCAAGCAGAAACAGCCCCACATCATTGCCAACGTCACCAAGATCGAAGACAAAGAGGGCCTGGTGGACCCTGAAACCGCCAAGAAGATCATCGACGAGCTCATGAGGTAGGTGGGGAAGCAAGAGGGCGTTGAAGGACCGACCGGATGTGCACATGGATGGATGTGTGTGTGTGTGCAGGTTGCACGATCAGTGCAACGAGGTGGAGGCCGAGCTTATGGACAGGTTTAACAAGCCCTTCACGGCCATGAATATCCGCCTGCGGCCCTCCGCACAAGAGACCATCGACACGCGCACCGCCGACATGGCCATCGACCCCATCAGCGATTTGCAGTCGTACGTGCAGATCTCCTCGATGCTCATGATGGAGCACCACCTACTCACGGCCGACAAGTACGACGCCATGTGCATGACCAACACCGAGGACCGACTGAGGTTCATTCGCGACAAGCTGCGGCAGAAGCAGAAGGAGCTGTTGCTGCTCAAGAAGACGCCGCAAGAGGAGGTCGAAAAGGCCATGAAGGCCATGCAGGAGCAGCTGCAGGCGCTGCAGCAGCAGCAAGCTGGTGGGGCGGGGGGAATGGGCGGGGCACAAGGGCAGCCAGCAGAGGGGATGAGCGGGGTTAGTGGACCAGGAACAACGGCAGACGAGAGGCCAGTGAGTCCGCCTGGCGCAATGGGCGGCCCAGGACAGGCAGGCGGACCACTGATCTGATCAATCTGAAGGGATCGGCGGATGGATGGACGAGTGGATGGATGGGCGTGTGATGTGAGCGATGTGCGAACTTTTTCATTATGCGTGTGACTTACATGACTGACATGACCGATTTAAATATATAAGGCTTCATTCATTCATTCATCGCCTTCCTTCATGCACTCATGCAGCAATCTGTATGTCATCTCATCAATCCATCGAGAGTCACGTCAGGGCCACGAAAAAGAAGGAAACGTCCCACACAACATCCCTCAACCGCCCCTAGCTAGCCTCGGCAGCTCCTTTCTCGCGCGCTGAGCCTCGAGCGCCCCGGGCTCCTTCTTGGACGCCACGACCATGTACTGTGTCTGCGCGTGACGTCGCCTCAGCTGAAGGATATCCACGCCACTCTGCTGCACGATTCTCTCTACAGGCCGGTTGTAGAAACACCCGTCTTTTCTGAACCGCTGCTTCATCGACAGGCTGAGCCAGGTGTTGATCAGGGCAGAACTCCCACAGCCGTGCTCGAGAAGCAAGAGCTTTCCGCCCGATTTCACGACTCTCGCCATCTCGCGGACGGCCTCGATGGGGTCCTCCGCCTTGCAGAGGCCGAACGCACAAACGACGCAGTCGAAGCTGTCATCGGGGAAGGGCAGCATCCCTGCAGCATCGCACTGGCAAGTTTCCACCCTCAAGCCCTCCAGCACCTGCCGGCTCCTCTCCCTAGCAATCTGCAGCACCTCCCCGTCCACATCGGTCAGCACCAGCTCCTCGATGCTGGCCTTGTCGTAGTGAGGGAAGTTCTCGCCCTTCCCCACACACACCTCCAGCACCCGGCCAGTCGCCTGTCCACACAGCTCCCCTCTCCACTGGTCGAGGCCTATCGACTGCATCAAGGTAAGTGGGGCGGCGGCGTCTATGGCGGCGACGGCAGGAGGGATGAACCTGGAGAGGCCCCTTGGCTGCTGTGACGATGATTGGCTGATGCGGGCCTTCCTCTGTTCCTCTCGGATGTCTTGACGGATGGCCTTCTCCTCCCGCTGCCAATCGGCGTATGGCTTTTTCCACGCGAGAGCCACACCTGCACCAGGCACACACAAACACACACACACACACACATAGCAAACGCAACCATGGAGCAGACAGATCGTACGATGACCATCCGGTGCTCATCTGCCTGACTGCCTGGTTACCTGCGCCGGCCACGGATGCGAAGGCGATGGCCCGTGTGACAGAGATCGGCATCGCCTCACATGAATGGCAGGGCGACGGGGCATCGGTTCTTCATTGCTGCGAAGAGGGCGGTCCCTAAGAGGTGCCTTCGTTGGTTGGTTATTGTGTTTAACGAGACTCGTGTCTGTAACCCCGAGGGGATCCTGTCCACTAAACTAGCAACATGCAACGCACAGAAGCATGCACCTATGCCGACTAGTATTGTGCCGGCCGCCTTCGGCGGCCGTGGATCCCGAGGAGCTCAAGCTGGAGCGGGCAAAGTAATAAGGTTGACAACGCCACCACGGCGCACGTCTTTATAGGTTCTGCAACAGAAGCCTGAAGCCGCTCGGTTGGGGTTCAGGGTTTAGGGTTTGAATGTCCCATTAGCCCAGATCTTGATCGAATTGCACTATGCTCGCGAGATACCGTGCCGCGCGACTCGAGAAGCACACCATTCGAACCACCAGCGGGCGGTTGACATCGCCATGAAGCCAAAAAGGAAACCCTAAATGTGCACCTTTAGGGTTTCCTCCGTCGTTAGCTAGTGGGGAGATCTCCCAAACCCTACACCCAAACCCTTTCGTCCACCCTTACCCGAAGCGTGAAAAGAGGATGTTGACCTCATGTTTCCCCGGCAGCGCCCAACGGATTTGATGCGGCTTTCCCGGTGGGCATCAAGGTGTGCTGCTGAGTCCCAACGTGTGCGGGACGGCGGCACATGTCGTGTTGTGCGACGCCGACGTCGACGGTGCAGCTGTTACGTACGGTGAAGGCTCTCATGAGATCAAGGAGTACTACATCCACAAGCACTATCTCTCTGAGGGCCATCCCGACATCGCCATTGCCACGCTGCAGCAGAATGCCTCTCCCCGCCGTCAGACATCCATCTGTTACGGCCTGGATATCGGGGTGCAGCTGGAGGCGCAGGAGATCGTCACTGAGGAAGGCGCGTCAGCCGAGTACCAGTACAGCCGTCGGTTTGGTGGCGTGGTCTGCGGCGTGAACAAGAAGGATGATGGCACGGTGTCGTTCCTGCAGCTGTCGGGCATCAGCTCAAAGCCGGGTGACTCGGGGAGCCCGCTGTCGGTCAAGGACAAGGGGGCGGTGGGCGCCATCGTCCACGGCCTGTCGGCGCATCGCAACCGAGGCGTCCGCCATCGTCAGGACCCCGAGGAGACCGCTCAAGTGTATCATCAGCTATTCGTCTGCCCGCTGGACTCACTGCGGGAGCCAACGGGAAACTTCCTGCACGTGCCGCGCTCCTTCCTGCGAAAGGCGCCGTCGGCATCTAGGTATTCTCTCATGCAGTGCATCGAGGAGCTTCCCGTCGGCTTCTTCGATGCAACGAACCGGCAGACATCGCTTCGCGACTACTTCGACGCGCACGCCCAACCGTCAGCAGACCCCTCTAAGATTTCCATGCCAGCCCCCCAGCAGCAGCCTCCGACCATACCTGACGGTACACCCGACTGGGTGCAGCCACTGGTGCAGGCGATCACACAGCCACTGGTGCAGTCGATGACACAGGGGTTCGCCGCCGTGGACAAGGGGCTCGCCGCCGTGGACAGGCGTTTGGCGACGATAGAGGGCGATGTGAGGGACTTGCGACAACGAGCGACAGGGTACGACAAGCGCACAACGACAGCGCCCTCAGCGATCGCCAACGACATGAAGTCCGCCATCACCCACCACGTGAGGGCGGGCGAGATAGTGCTGCAGGGGGAGGTCGGTCAAGGAGGGGCTCAAGGGCAGCAGGCTGGCTTGCAGCGAGTGGGAGACTCGCAGCAGGAGCTTGATGAGGAGGAGATCCTCGGCTGGACCATCGGCAACTTCATCCGCGACCTTGTGGACAGCCTCAGCCGCCCTCAAGCACAGGTATGTACGTAAGCAGGCAGACTTACACGGGAAGGAACAGCAGTGGGTGGAGTAGTGCGAAGGGATGCATGTGTCATTGTGTGTGTGTGGGTGTGGGTGTTGTGTTGTGTTGTTGTTGTGTATTGTGTGCGCGCAGGACATCCAGCTGACTGCGAAGTGGATCAAGTGCCAGCAGCTGGCTGTAGCTGCAGCTGAGCTGTAGTGTGTGGTGAGGGCTGGGCGGCACGAGGGGGTGATGCGGTGAGTTGGGTGTTCGTTGGCTGGCGATTGACTGATTGACTCATTGGCAATGGACGACCAGACATTCAATGGTTGTTGTGCACGGCGGGCATCCGCTGCATGCCACTGTCCACGGCGTCATCTGCAAATGGCCAACCACAGATCCACACACGCAGACGTACACGCCTCGCTATTCATATTCCTGTGACAGAGTAGGGTTTAAACCCAAACCCTAGACCCTATGTTTGCCGACTACCTTCCCTTTCCGTGTGTGTGCGGCAGCTACCGCACCGCTGTCGGCAATGGAGGATGAGTTCAACCGCGCCAAACAGCGGCTCGAGAAGAGGCAGCAAAGGGGCCGACAACGTGCCCGCCGGGAGCACCAGCACGCCATGCACAAGAAGCGCAGCATCAACTCCAGCATTATGCCCTCATCAGCGACGGTGATGGTGGTCTGTCTTATTCTGCTGACAGCGGAGGGCTGCCGGCCATCGCGGTGTCTGCCTTTGTCGCGCCGCCCGTCCGCCTCTCCCGCGCCACCAAACACACAGGTGTGGCCTCTCAGATGAGAGCCGTCAAACCGCCAACCAAGGTGACTGAATGACATCTATGTCGCCACACACACATGCACACTGATGAATGGCTATCTGTCGGTCTGTCTGTCTGTCTGCAGCCATTGGCTGAGCAGCGGATGGCTGAGGTGGACCGGAGGCTGGGGACCTTCGAGGAGAACCCTCGCTTCATGGCCGAGTACAGCAAATTTCAGGGGCTTAAGGAGACCAAAAGACGCCTCATCCTGCAGCAGAAAGGTGCGTATGGACGCCACACACGCACGAGCCTCTGAACACACTCCATTCGCCATTGCATAGGAGTGAGTCTGCTCTCTTCCACGATGGGTGCAGATCCGTCGTGGAAGGCTGCCCTGAGAGAGGCCGGTTCGTTAGCATTTCTTGCCCTCTTCGCCTGCGTCGGTGCGGTCTCACGGACCGTCCTCCTTGTCACCTTCCTCGAGTGGGCCTTCCTCCCCGAATACGCGAATATGAGTCTTGTAGAAATGGCTCCCCGTGCTGCAGAACCGTTGAAAGAACTGTTGCAACTACCTCTTGGTGTGTATGCGGTATGTGTGTGGGTGGGTAGTAGAGGGGGGGACTGTACAGTAGTAATCAAAATGATAGATCGAAGTCAGATTTGACTGGCAAGGACGTGCGCCGAAATGGTCACTCTTCCGTTTGCTCGTAAGGGAAGGGAACGGACTGACATGTGGGGTGAAGGGTGTCGGTCAATGCCGTGCAGGCCATGTGAGTCAAATCGACACAGACCGACCGACGACTCCCACGCAAACCGCACTCAGCACACGCACACGAAAACACTCAGCCGGTCGCTGGATCGGTCAGTGGGCCTCACTCTCGTCGCGGTATCGACAGCTCCATCCCGTCCCACGCAGCGATCACACGCGGCCCCGGATCCCCGTTGCCACTGACTCTGTCTGCCGCCCATGCCCGCCTCTCGTCTGTATGGTCCCACTCGCTGAGCACCTGGCTGGCTTCTCGCTCCAACTGCATCATCGTCTGCACCGATGCAATGGAGCTGTCGCCCTTGTACCGCTGCGAGAAGTGCGTCAGCACCAGACGACGCGCTTCGATGGAGCGGGCGAACCTGACGAGCGAAGAGACAGGCGCACAGTCAGACGGCTCGTTGGATGAGCTTTTCAGCTGACCTGGCGGCCATGGTGGGTGTGGAGTGCCCTCTGTCGAAGGTCTGTCTGTCCAGCTGCTGCCGCAGTCCCGCCCAGTCTGCGGCCTCCCACTCATTGATGGGCAGGGCGGTGTCGATGTCATCCGCCGACAGTGGTGGGTCGTCTGGGTCGGTTCCCGGCGCGGCTGCCGCGTCCTTGGCCACGAGCGAGTTGGTGCACTCGTGGACCTGGTCACATGGGATAAGAGGGCACGCACGTGTGTGTGTGGAGTGGGGCTGGGGAGCTTACGAGGAGGTCTGCGTCTTTGGCCAGCTCTGCAATCGCCGACGAGTCGCAGCTGTCCTGCCAACACACACACAGACAGAGACACGGACAAGCAGACAGACAGACAGACAGACACTCTCTCTCCCTCTATCTGTGTGTGTGTGTGTGTGTGTGTGCGTGTGCGTGTGCGTGCCTGGCATATGGCGACTTTCCGCCCCTCCCGCGATCGGGGCACGACCTCCTCGGCCGACACCACCGTGCCGTCAGGGAAGCGGTAGGCCTCACCGGCACCCAGAGACTTCAACCTCTACACACACACACACACACACACACAAAAGGAGAGAGAGATGGGCAACTCTCTCTGGTGAATGTGGTTAGTGAGTGGGATCGGTCACTCGACCACTTACCCACCCACTTACCTGTATGATTTTCTTGGGGTTCTTGCCGGGGTACATTTGCCTGAGCTCCTCGGCGTTCCTCTCGATGATGGGGAATATCACGTCGGTGTCGACACGGCCGGGGCGCGACTTCTCCTCGATCACGTAACCGACCGTCGGCACCGTGTGCTGCATTCCATTGGAGAGGCTCGTGTGTGTGTGTGTGTGTCGGGGGGTGTCATGGCACTGACTCGTAGTGGTGCAGCGGACACAGTGACATGAGGGAGGTGGAAGAGTGTGTAGGTGCCGTTTGTGTGGGGGTAGATGTCGTCGCCGCCGTCGATCTCGCGGGGGAAGCTGACATGCACACATACAAACATACGTCGCACACATGACACAGACAGGTCTGTGTGTGTACGGTGTCTGTCTGTCTGTCTGCTGAGTGAGAGACTGACTTGTATGCCTTGACGGGTCGTGGCGGCCGATACCTGCACACACACACACAACAATGGGCAAACACCTACCTCTTTTGCCTCGTATCTGTCTGTGCTGTGTTGTGCTGTCCTGTGTTGTGTTGTGTGACGGACCCACCATCTGTCGTGCAGGTAAGGGACGCCCTTAAGCTCGTGTACGCGCCAGTAGCCGCACTTCTTCACATTCGACAGCTGCACACAACACATCAACGAACACACACAGACAAAGGACCAGCCTCTGATCAATGGACAGGTGGAGAAAAGCTCCCCCACCACCCACCCATAGAGCGGCCCTGAGGTGGTTCCTCAGCCCCTCTGGCCCATAGATCTCCAACGGCACCTCGCGAGTCGCACTGGCAGCACACACACACACACACAGAGAGAGAGAGAGAGAGATATGCGCACACACAGCCAAATACATGTGTGCGAGGCTTGCGTACTGTGATGTGAGGAATGTGACAATCCCCGCGAGCCCCATCATATGGTCGCCATGCATATGAGAGACGAACACCCGGCGAATCCGCCCCGCCCGTATCGGGCTCGCCTGTATCTGCAGCTGCGTCCCCTCCCCCGCGTCAAACAGCCAGATGTCGCCCCCGTCGCTCTCCCACCTCAGCGCCACACTCGACGTCCCACGGTGCTTTGTCGGGTACATCGAGCCCGTCCCCAGGAACACTGCCGTCATGTCGCTGCCGGGGATGGCCGCACTCAGCCTGGCTTGGCGGTCCACCTCGATCAGAGAGGCCAGCGAGGAGGCCCCCAGACGGAGGGGCAGGCCTGTGGCGGCCTCGAGAGACGCCTGGGCCTTGCTGAAGACATCGTTGACAGACGAGTGCAGGGCGTCCTCAAGGTTTGACAGGGGGGAGGGAGAGGGAGAGGGGGAGGGTGTCGCTGCTGCTGCTGCTGTTGGTGCTGGTGTTGGTTGTTCCGGCCCAGCGGTCGCCAGGTCGTCAAATAGCGACCTCTTCGGCGCGTTGTGGTCGTCGTCATGATCTCTCTCTCCCTCCAGCAGCAGCATGCCCGCCTCCATCTCATCTATGTGCACATGCTGATCGTCAGGCGGCCGCGAGGGCACCACAAACTTCCCCTCGTCCAGGGCATCATGCCCCTCTCTCGGTGGCTCAGCTGGAGGCATCCGAGTCCCTCTCCTTTCCCTCATGGCCATTCGCCTCACGACCGCACGGTGGACTCTTCGGCGCGTGGGAGGGGTCATGATGAATGCCAACGCGACGGGGTAGCCGACGATGGACGCAAACGGCCAACGATGGCGGAACGAGGCAGCGCGGGTGGGGTGGACGAGGGCTTCTGAGGCGTCGAATAGGCACATGCAGCAGAGGATCAGCAGCAACAGCACCATGAGTGAATGAGAGGCAAACGGCTGTGTTCTTCTTCAGAATCTTCAGAGCGGGAGCAGCGAAAGCACCATGAGTGCTAAACCGCTCGGAAACTCTCAAGGGGACTCCAGATCTATGCCCGGGGAAGTTGCGAGCTCGGCGTCTGCGAACTAAGCTCGCTGACGCACTTCGTTCCTTCTCACGCAAAAGCGGCGGAGAAGTTCCGCAGCCGAGAACGGAGAGATGAAGTGACTCGTGAGATATCACGTCAACACGAGCGATCCACTCCCTCCTTTCTTGATGGCCGCCAACCGCGTTTCCACATCGGGACGCCACTCGTCCGTGGCGAGCACCGCCCCTTCTGGCGACTCTTCCGGCCTGAAAAGGACCGACTCCGGCACCTCGCTTGTGGCTGAAGAGCCTTACCTTCACCGTCCTGGGCTTGGGCTGGGGACGTCCTGGTGGGTTCGTCAGGTTTGGGGAGCGTCCAAGTATAGAAGGATCCTGGTGCGGCGGGCGAGGTGCGCCCAGGTCTTCCAGCAGATCTTCACCTGGGGATTCATCATCTTCATTTTCTTCGTATGTGCAGCCGACACACAGCACAGAACAACACACACACACAGCTTGCCATGGGCGAGATGGGATGACTGTGGGATTGTATGTTTGTGTGTGATTGTGTGACTGTGTGACTGTGTGGTCCCCCTCCCCCCAGAGCGACATCTATCTGTTTGGTGTGGAGGATGAGCGGTACGGTGTGTGGCGGAGCCTAAAGTACCTCATCTTTGCGGTGCTGTGCGACGTGGCCCTGGTGCTGGCCATCCATGGCATCTATGCCCTCGTACGGGCCATCACCAAAAAGAGAGAGCGCATCGACGGCGTACTCAGATCAGCCTCTATGTGGTCAGCCAAGCCAAGGGCCTGGCCTTCTTCTCTCATCCTTCACCCATTCACCGACCCATTCTCGTGTGTCTGTGTGTGCAGGGATCTGGACTACCTGGGCGGCGCGTCGGCCTCTCAGCTGGACTGCATGGACCCCATGGGCAGCGGACAACTGAGCCCTGCCCCCGTGCTGGCAGAGCGCTCCCACTCACACACACTCCGGATTGCCCACCCCGGCGGCTCATTCGGCAATGCTGCCAATGACAGCGGCGCTCACCTCGGGAGGCCGGCGAGCGGGCAGTGGATAAGGGAGAGGGACAGCACCGACGAGGTGCTGGCGACCGAGAGCTTCGCCGTCGACATGCAGACCATCCGCGCGGCGCCGCCCGAGGCGCAGAGCAGGAGAATCATTGGGCCTGAGCAGAAACGCAGCGAGTCCAGGCTGAAGCCGCGTACGTGAGCTCTGCATGCTCATCTGTCTGTCTGTCTGTCTGTCTGTGGGTCGAGAACACGTGTGGCGTTGGTGTGTGTGTGTGTGACTGGTCTGTTAACAGGTGTGCAGCGTTGCGGTGGCTTCCTGCGGTATAACAGGGTGGGTCGGCTGCTGAACGTGAAGATGCAGGAGGTGTCTGACCTGCCGGCGTATCACTTCGCGCGAATCAGCCAGACGCTGGGCTGGGCGGTCGTGTGGCTGTGGGCGAGTCGGTACCTGGACAGGGACAGCGCAATCGACCCGTGGAGCTATCACGTACGTGAGAACGATGCGTCTTGTTTGTCTGCGTAGGTGTGTTGGATCCTCCTCTCTCCCTCTCTCTCTCTCTCTCTGTGTGTGTGTGTGTGTGTTTCTTTCAGGTGCCTGAAGAGTATGACAGCATAGAGAGGATATTCCTGTGGATCGTCTCGCTTGACTTCTGCTTCCAGCTGATCGTGGCCAAAGACAAGAAGCGATTCCTCAGTGAGTACCCCACACATTCCCCCCTCCCGCCCGTCACTCACAGCACCCACATGGCACATATCAAAACACGCGTTGCGTGTTGGATGTCAGTGCGGCGTCAGTCTCTGTTGGACTTTCTGACGCTGCCGGCCTTCCTGATGATCGTGCGGCTGATCGTGCTGCTGGTGCGGTGGTTCAAGCCGGACATCGGCGACGTCAACCCTGAGCACTACCTTCTCAACTTCGGCTTCATACGCTTCCTCAGGCGAGGATGGATGGATGGATGGCAAATGGCAACACACACTCACACACACATACACACACATACGCACACACTCTCTCTCTCTCCCTCTGTCCATCCATCAGGTTGACGGGCATCGAGCCGACGATGTCGCGTGTGGTGCCGTGGCTGTCGCCCATCCGGCGGCGTCTCATCTCGATCGTCTTCGGGCTGTCCTCCATCCTGCTGACCTTCAGCGGGGCGATCTTCTACTTCGAGGGCGCCCCCAATGCACCCGATGACGACGGAGGGACATACTTCCGCGGCATGTTCGACTGCATCTACTTCAGCATCGTCACGGTATACGACACGCCGCAGCTGGGCTTCGCTTCTTTCTCCCTTGGTGCATCCTCCCTCGTCTGTGTGTGTGTGTGTCTGTGTGTGTGTGTATGTATGTAGGTGTCGACAGTGGGTTACGGCGACTACACGCCCGAGATGTGGGAGAGCAAGGTTGTGGTGGTTGTGGTCATCATCCTGTGCCTCGCGTACCTGCCCACGGAGATCAGACACCTCGTCGACCTCACAAAGGCGCCCAAAACAATCATTGGTACGCTGCTCATACGCACACACAGAGAGAGACAGAGAGAGAGAGAGAGAGGAATGCATGGCGCCATTCTCTCCCCTTATGTGATGTGTGTCCATCCACTCACTCCACGGTTGTCAGGTTCTCAGCCCACCGTGGGACAGCTGAGCGACATGATTATGATAAGCGGCAAGGTGCCCCCCGAGCAGCTGGCCGTCATCCTCAGCGAACTGCACAGCAGCCACTCGGCCGGCAACTCTTACAGCGGCGTCAAACCGTAAGCTAAGCAAGCCACTCCCACGCCCCACCCCTCCTCCGATGGTGTGTGTGTGTGTGTGTGTGTTGGCAGACGTGTGTTGGTGCTGACCTCCCGCGAGCCGAAGCTCTACGAGCACATTGTGGCTGACGCCTTGGCGCACTATAACCTGCGCGTGTGCGTCAAAAAAGGCGACTATGACGTAAGCACACACACACACACACGCAACAGCCTCAAGACAGAGGGATATGGTCATCTCCATCAATCCATCCATCCATCCACCCACCCATCCCTGCAGGCCCGCGACTTGCGTATGTTGGCCACGCATGACGCCCGCGCAATGTTCCTGTTCAGCGACCACCAGGCCGCCGATGTGGTGCACGAGGACAGACAGACCATCCTCAAGTGCCTCGGTATACACACACACACACACACAGAGAGAGAGAGAGAGAGGCCCAATGTCTGTCCCCAATGTCTGTCTGTCTGTCTGCAGGAGTGCGTAAGTTCGCCCGCACAGGCAGCCTCCGTCTGATGACGGTGCAGCTGAACCAGAGCGGCGCCAAGCAGCTGGCCCAGGACATGGGCGTTCACCACGTGGTCTGCTTCAACGAGCTCAAGATGAAACTCATCGCCAAATCGGTCGCGGGCTGCCCGGGGTTCGCGACGCTCGTGGCCAATGTCTTCCGCAAGCTCAGTAACGACCTGCTGCTGTTCAGCGCACGACGGCTGGGGCTGCCTGGCGAAGACGAGTACTTCCGAGGTCCGCTCTCGCACCCCACCCATCCACTTATCCATCCATTTATCCATCTGTGTGTGGTCAGGAGCTGATTTCCAGCTCTACAGAGTCGTGTTCCCGCAGTGCATGGTGGGCCTCTTATTCCACGAGGTCGTCCGGGGCTTCTTCGAGTGCTTCCACGTCTTCCTCATCGGCGCCACCGCCTCCCAGCACCTCACATTCCTTAACCCATCCGACTGGAGGGTCGGATCGCCATGCCCCTTCACCTCCACTCCCCGAAGGGTCGACGGCGTCATCCTCGCGCAGTCGCCCGAGGTGGTCGAGTACATTCAGTCGCTCACGAAGATCCCCTGGCGGATAAGGGGCGGAGGGAAGACACGGAAGGGCGGCAAAGGGGGTGGTGGTGGGGGTGGGGGTGGTGTGGCCCCGAGCAGCAGCAGACGGAAGGCACTCACGCCGGTGTTCGTTGACGAGAGGGAGAGCACTGCTGGTGCCGCTGGTGGTGGGGATGATGGGCAGGTACGTAACGTACGTGAGGGACTGGTTTGCTGGGTGGAAACACGCCAGCACTCCCCTCCCTCCCTCCCTCCCTGTGTGTGTGTGTGTGTGTCGTTCACTGCAGGAAGTCAGACGAGCGTCGTTCCTAAAGCCGCCCTTCACGCCATACCCCTACGTACAAACGACCGCCGACAAAGAGAGAGACAAAGAGAAGGCAGCACCGCCCCCACCAGCGGCAGCCAAGGACGACACCACGACCACGCCAGCATCGTCCCCAGTGACCAGACAGCAGCCGCAGCCGCAGCCCCATCCTCCGGCGCGTCAGGCGTCCATCGGTTCCGCCACCACAAGCCACGAGGACGGCAGCAAAGACGGCAGGCAAGGAGGCCCGAAAGGCTCCCGGTCCTCCACCCTCTCTCTCACCGAAGCGCCTGTGGCCCCACCACCCCCTACACCGCTCATGGGCGACAGCAGCAAGGGATCGGCAGACAGAGACAGGGAGAGGGAGAGGGAGAGACAGCGCCGCAGCAGCAACGCAACGAATGCCACTTCTTTCGCCCCCGGCCCGCATGACAACAATGACGACAAGGCCTCCCTATCGGCCGTGTCAGCGGTGTCCGAAGCCTCGTGGAGCAACCCCCACAACGCCATGAGTGGGGGCATCGCCCGCGTGGCCGATCTGCAGGAAGCCAAGAATGCCGTCTTTGTGGATCCCTCCCGGCCCTTGATAGTTGTGTGCGGCTGGCCTAAGACCATATCGGTCTTCTTCCGAGCGGTCCGGTCGTCGGGCAGGTTTAATGTGTGTGTCGTCGCGCCCCATGTGCCACCGTACTCCTCACTCAACGAGCTGCAGGCAAGGAAGAAAACTGCGGGAGGGAGGGAGGGAGGGAGAAATGCGCCCCCCACGGCCAGACACACACACACAAATGCCTCTCTCTCTTTGTGTGTGTGTGTGTGTGTGTCGTGTGCAGGGTTTCTCTGAGTGGGTTGTGCATATCGAGGGGTCCCCTCTGCGTCGGACGGACCTGCTGCGCGCCGGGGTGCTGAAGGCCTACAGCTGTGTGGTCTTCAACTGCCCCCACGGCTTCGAGGGCACCGAGCACACACACACCATCAGCACCACCACCGCCACCACAGCCAGACGCCACAAAGGAGACGACGCCGAGTGCATCCTCGTCGCCAAGAAAATAATGGTACGCATCTCCGACAGCAACCACACACCTATCCCTCTCTCTCTCTGCGTGTGTGTGTTTAGGCCATGAGAATGTCGCAAAAGAAAAAAGAGAAAGGCCTGCTGGTCAACCGCGCAGCGTCGAGCGGGTCTCTGTCCGGCCCCGAGCATCCCGCCTTAGCCGTCACCCACACCCACAGCACACGTCAGCACACTGTGCTCGAGAGTATGTTCGACGTCAACGACGTGGCCCTGCAGCTGCCCGAGTTCAACATAGTCACCGAGCTCAACAAGGCGGAAAGCATCCAGTTCCTCGACCCCTCCCCCTGGTGCCCCGCCGCGAGCAGCCAGGACACCGAGGACCCAGAGACAGGGCATTCCGACCAGCTCAAGAGGGTTTTCTACATGGACTCCCCCGAGTATATGGCTGGCCACGTGTTTGTCGACGAGATGCTGTACCCTCTGGCCTTTCGAGTGCGGCCGGTGTTCCCCTACGCCATCGAGAGCAGCATCATTGACACGATGATCGAGGGCTTCGGCACCCAGGGGCGGACGCCTGTGCAGCTGATGAACATTGCGCCGCAGTTCCACGGTCAGCCTTTCAAGAAGCTCTTCCAGTACTCGGTTAAGCACGACGGCGTGATACCCATTGGGATACTCAAAGGTCTGTCTGTGGGGGGGTTTGTGGCCTGACACACACTACACCGAACGAGCCGGCATCTCTCTCTCTCTCTCCCCCTCCCTCTGTGTGTGTGTGTGTCCACCACGTCAGCTTTGGGCCCCGGCGCGTTGGCCTTCGTGTGCACTTGCCCACGAGCTGACTGCAAACTTGCCCCACACGACAGAGTAAAGCAGCAGAGCCCGGCGCGACACCGACCGTCATCTCACTCTCTGTCTGTCTGTCTGTCTGTCTCTGTCTCTGTCACTGTCAGGTGTTCGCCATAGTCCCGGTGCGAATGCAGGACATCGAGCCCCCCGACCAGACGCAAGACGTCATGGAGATCCCCTCCCACCCCCTCTTCCCCTACCACCCACACACGCGCGAGAACCTCCTCCTCGCCGACAACCACGTCCTGCGCGCCCACTCGTTCACAGACTTTAATTTCACGACTATGGTCGACAATGGGGAGATTATCGGGGGTGCTGGCGGTGGGGGGCATGGTGCTGCTGGTGAGAGGGGGTTGGAGGGAAGCGGACCTGAGAGGCGGCTGTCGTCTCCCTCTCTCGCTGCGGCCAACAGTGGCGGGCTTCACCACGGGCGGCGTCGGAGGCAGCCGCAGCGGTCTGCAGAGATGAAGAAGCACGAGAGTGCGCATGAGCTGCAGACACTGGACCAGCAGCAGCAACAGCAACAGCAGCAGGGGGCGGCTGGTCTTGTCTCTTCTTCTGGTGTGGTGGTGGAGTCGAAGCTGAGTGCGGAGTTCCCCCACATCCCCTTCAAGCGCCGGGGGCCCTCAGACAACACCCCACACACGACGCCCACCCCACTGCCGATGGTGCCGATGATGCCACTCGCTTCCTCTGCCTCCCCCTCCCCCTTGCCCCCCACCCCCCCGGTCGACAGGTCTCTCGTCGACACAGACGAGAGGGAAAGAGATGCCGACAGCCGCCCCCACCCCCTCCCCCGGCCCACATACATGCGCCCACCAAGCCGCGAGACGAGTGGGGAGGGGGAGGGGGAGAGGGAGAGAGACGATGCGCATGCTGCCAATGGTCAGCACATGGCATCAGCCCCGCCTCAACCCCCGGCGACACCTCCAGGAGCGTCAGCAGCAGGGCCAGGTGGGTTGGGTCATGGCAAGAGGCCGGTGCAGTTCAATAAGGGGGCGAGGGGCTTCAACACCAGCACGGTGTGACTGTGCGATGGATGGATGGATGGCGGTGTGGATGAATGGCATGGTGTGTTTGTTGTCTTTCCGCCCGCCTTGCGTGTGTGTTGGCCGAGTCGGTTAAATGAGTCAGGTGAGCCATTTGGTCTTTCTCTGTGAGTGTGTGTGTGCGTGTGTGTGTGTGTGCATCTCTATGTGTGCGTGCGTGCATGTCTGTCTGTCTGAGTAATGGTGTGTATCTTTTTTCATACCGCTGCTTTTTCTATCGTGCGAGGTGCTATATGGTCAAGAAGTAGGGCGTAAACGACAGACAGACAGACAGACAGGTGAGTGATCAAGTACTTAGGATAGAGTGGTGTGCGTGTGTGATTGTGTGGATGGATGGATGGATGTCGCTGCTGTACAATGGCAATGGCGATGGCCTTTATTCATTCTCACGTCGTGTACCTACACGATTTGGACCGCCTGCCGTCAGACATTGGTCAAGAGGCTCGCCTCGCTCGATCCAGTCAACCCCCATCCCTCACCAGTCACCTCACTACTCACCTCTTGCTCTTGCCCTTCCCCCCCTTGCCCCCTATGCCCTTCCCCTTGCCCCCTCTGCCCCCCACGGCTTTTCCTTTCCTCACCTTCCCCCCCTTCACCTTGTTCCGCCTCGACCGCTCGGTCTCCTCCTCAAACGTGGCAATGTTGCCCGCCTTGCCCCGGTCGATCTCGCCCCCGCCCCCCTTGAACAGCCGGTGGAGGGTCTTCTGGTAGGACGCCTTCTCGTCACTCACTGGCTGAGGGGTCACCTGCACCAGGGAGGGCATGGATGCATCACAAACGTGTGTGTGACTGTGGGTGGGGGGGAGGGGGAGGGGGAGGGGGAGGGGTGCGACACGTGCCTTCCTGCGCTTCTTGGGTGGTGTCCTGGTCTCGCCGCGGGCGGTCTTGTCAAACAGACCGTATGATGCCGTGGACACCTGGGCTCTGCAGGCACACACACAGAGCACAGAGGCAAGGCACATGGGTATGTGTGCAGTCTGAATGTGACACAAAGGCGCGGACCGTTTCAGGGACGTGCTGATGTCATCTTTTGGCTTCTTCCTGTTGGCCACGTCGCTTGCTAGATTCGCCACACCTGAAGCCACACACACACACACAGAGAGAGAGAGAGAGATGGTGCATATGCCTTGCTTGATGCACACGATGACTGTCTGACCTGCCGGGAGGCGTACGCCCGCCCCCTCGAGTTTGTTGCGCATCTCGCGGAGCTTCTGCTTGGCCTTGACGAGCTGCCGCTCCTCAGCGCGCTTCTGAAAGGGGTCCTCCAAGGGATCTGACACACACACACACCATTTGCCCACAGTGAGAGAGGATGTGATGGCTTGCCTTGTCCGTGTTTGACTTCGACGATGGGTGTGGCCTTGTCGAGGTTAGCCTTGAGGCTCTTGTAGCCCCACCGCGGCACCCAGTCCTGCTTGACCTCGTCCCACACGATGCGGCTGCGCTTCCGCTTCACGATGCCCTTCGTCTCTGACCAACCAGTGGACGGGGCGGACCAATTCAATCAGCCAAGCAACCCAAATATGTCAGTCAGTCATTATTTGACGCGCCCACCGGCAAACTTCTTCCAGCGCGTCTTCGCCTTCTGCTTGGGAATCTGCCACACAGACAGACAGATCCATGAGATAGATGAGCACCACAGCTTTCTGTGGTTGCCCGTGCACGTCCCACCTACCGGCAGCCTCCTGGGCAGCAGGTAGGTCGGCCGCGTCGGCAGGGTGGCCACCAGGCCCTCGTCCGTCATGTGCGTCGGCAGCCCGAACACTCTACACACACACGCACACACACACACACGATTAGACACACACATTTTGGCTTCCCAGGTTGACTCACCTGTTGACCAGAAGCTGGGCGTTGTCACGGGTCATGGAGTTCAGCCTACACACACGCAGAAGCAGCGAATGCAATGAACGCGTGACTGAGTCCCTTCCCCTCCTCTCAGTCACTGGTCATGCGATGGAATGGGGGTGATGTCGACGCCGAGGAGGTGCTGCAGGTCATAGCTCAGGTTGTCGGCCTTCTCGGGCACGGCGCTGCGACTGAATAACCACAACACACATCTCATTGTTTTCACACAATTGCATGCGCACATTCAGACAGACAGACAGTACCTGGTCCGCAGTGGTGGCTGTCCGTCGGCCTTGTCCGCTTCTCTGCCCATCAGCCTCTTGGGCGTGAACCGCTGCATGGGGTCGTTCTGGGCATCAGACTCTGACGCCATCCTTATTCAATCAGCTGGGCCGAAACAATCCTTGCCAGCCAGTCACTCACACAGGACGCCCTCCTGCGGCCTTCTTTCGCCTCTTTCCTCCGTCGGATCTGTTGCGAGCTTGAGAGAATGGCGAGCTTAAATCTTCCCAGCAGCAAAGGAGCGACCTCCCGTGTGACACCATGCCTGTGCACGATGCGTGAGCACCGCTGCGCATTCTTCCTGCTCGCGGCCCATTTCATCTTTGTTTTCGGCTGCTCCGCCAGCATCCTCCTTCTCCGTAAGCTCACCCTCACGCCAGCGGCCGTCGGGCGGCCATCCTCATCACACGCTGCTTGTGTTGTCTTTGGTAGTGTCCTTGCTTTCGTCCTCACCGACTGCCGTCGAGGGCGCTGCATTCAACTTGGGCGTGACTGATCATACGACGCCAGAGGTGTGCCTCCACCGGTCGTTCAGCGCCTCGCCGCTGTGTCGCTCGCTCAGCCACAGCCACAGCCTCAGCCACAGCCAACAGGGCATCTGTCATAATTCGCTGTTTCAGTTGCTGCACCTGCCGTCGGTGTCTTCGAGTCGGGTGATCCCTGCTGTGGCCAGTGCTGCACCTGCACCACCTGCTGCTGCTGCTGGTGCCGAGAAGGAGCCGTATATTTACCGCCCGCGCATGGAAATGGCTTGGAGGTGAGAGCGAGAGAAGAGGGCTGAGGGAGGGAGGGAGGGAGAGAGCGTGATATGATGTGTTGTGATGTGTTGTGTTGTGTTGTGGTGGTTGTATGCAGGGCGACAGGCCACTCCCATTTGGACCTGCTCAACAACCTCCGCCAGGAGGGCATCCTCAAGACCAACCGAATCTTTGACGTCATGAGCAAAGTCGACAGAAAGAAGTACGTCAAGGACTTCCCCTACCAGGACTCACCTCAGCCAATCGGTGGGTACGCACAGCACACAGACACACACATAGAAACATGGCCGGCAGGCGGGAAGGGGAAGGGTGTGTGTGTGCGCATGTGTGTGTGTGTGTGAAGGTTGGGGGGCGACCATTTCTGCGCCGCACATGCACGCCGCTGCGCTCGAGTATCTGTCCGACCAGCTGCAGCCCGGCAACTCGGCACTCGACGTTGGTACGCCAAGATACTCATACGCACAGGGCCACCACGACACACAGAGATACACACAAATGGCCGACGGCGAACACGACAAAACACACGTGTGTGATGTCCCCGATGTGTGTATTGTGTGGCATTGTGTGATAACTTTCAGGGTCTGGCACTGGGTACCTGACCACGTGCATGGTGCGCACACGGCGGGCACTCTCTCACACACACAGAGGAGGGGGGGTGCACGTGTGTCTGTCTGTCTGTCCGTGGCTCTGTATGTATGTGGTCACTGTGGTGCGTGTGTGGGTGCAGGCGCGGCTGTGCGGATTGGTGGACGACAAGAATGAGGTGCACCACGACCTTGGCAAGGTGGTCGGCATCGACTATGTCAAACGTAACCACCGCACCGCACACAGGCAGACAAACATGCACCCTCGATCGCTTTCGTGCCTCCCTCCCTCCCTCCATGCGTTACTTAGTGTGTGTGTGTGTCTGTGTATGTGTGTTGGCTGTTCCACCGCACACACAGCTCTGGTAGAGATGTCGGTCGACAACGTCAAGAATGACTTGCCCAAACTCATGGAGGCGCCAAACTTCAAGGTGGGTCATCAGCGATTGGGACACACGCACCGGGAGGCACTCATTGTTGACGCGTGTGTGGTGATTTGATTGTATGTGTGTGTGTGTGTGTGTGATTGCCTCCTACCTACAGTTGCTGGTGGGTGACGGCTGGAAGGGCTACGCCGAGTTCGCTCCCTACCACGCCATTCACGTGGGGGCCGCCGCAAGAGTCGTCCCACAGGTGAATAGATTAATGGAGTCATGCCGCCGACTTATGTACTGGACACACCAATTCCTGCCCTGCATCCTCTCTCTCTCGTATCATGTGGGCAATGTATTTATGCTATGCGTCAATCAAATCAGGCGTTGGTCGATCAGCTGGCTGTCGGCGGCAAGATGATCATTCCCCTCGGCCCCTCTGGCGGCGCACAATACCTCACGGAGGTCACCAAAGACGAGAGCGGACACGTCAAACAACGACAGCTATTCGGAGTGGTCAGTCAGACAGCGAACACCAGGGCACAGCACAGCACAGCACACGGACCCATTGCAATCGTTGCCTGTGGTGTGTGCATGTGTGTGCAGCGTTATGTGCCGCTGGTAGAGGACACGAGCGGTGGTGGGCGATGGAGATTCTGATCGAGCAGTCGTAGGTAGACGCACTATAGGCAGGCAGGCAGGCAGGCTGGCCACGCAGGAGACAGACGACAGATTCATTCAGACACCCACATGGCTGCCTGCCTGCGATGAGTAGAAGAGTGCAGTGCGTAGGGATAGCTTCATTCATGTCGATGTGGGTGCGCCAGCCGTCTTTTTCTCGCGGTGTGGCGGCGTGTACGTCTTTTTCGTTCGTCGGCCGGTTATATATCTAACATGGACCCCTTGTGTGTGTTCATAGGAAACGAAGGCGACTGACTGTTTTTGGTCTCTCTGCATCTCTCTATTGGTGGACGCCAGTGGTCTGTATGTGATTCCATGTGGCCAGGGGATGAAACAAAGACACACAGTGCATATGCCATTTTTCCGTGAGTTGGCTGGTTAAGAATCAGATAGTCAAGATGTTCAAAAACCGCAAGCGCACACACACGGGGCGTTTTGTACATGTAAGATCATCATATACCGACTCGGTCCGTGGCGAAAAACTGGCCACTGCACGAATTTGCATATGGCCAGGACTTTCGATGTCTTTTCGGTCGTGTTGTGCGTCTGTGCGCACGTCTTCGGTTAGCATCAGCAGTGATTCAGCATCTAGGTCACGTCGAGAGTCGAGGTGCCAGTGAGACGCCAAGTTGTGAGACGCAAATGAGATCGTCTCTTCGAGCAGCAGCCCAAGGCTGCAATCCATCCAAGAGCCGCAGAGCATTGATTGCCTCTGCTACCGGGCCATTGGCGGCGTGGATGGGAGGACCCCCGACGTCGACAGCACCATCGACTGGAGGTCCGCCTGTGCATTCACCATATCCACAGGACAAGCCGCTCGTTTCGGTGCATACTTCGCCACGTACCCCAACGACGAGGCCCTGTCGGTGGACGGGCCATTCATCAAGCGGAGGCTCCTCTCGGGCACGACGCCGCTGTTCCAGCAACCCAAGACCGACCCCGGGCGAGTGCGACTCAAGGACAGGGACGGCAAGAAGAAGGGCTGCAAACGCAAGCAGCCGCCAGGGGAGGAGGGCTCTGACCCAAAGAGCAACGGCGACGACGGGGAGATGGCAGATGGCTTTGATGATGAGAGGGGCACCGTCAGCGAATGCGCATAATAGTGTAATTGTCATCCTTCGTGTCGGCCGCCTTTTCCGAGACGCAAGGTAATTGCATGCCTGTGTCGTGCAGCATTCATCCTCTTTTTGTGTGTGCCAGCGGCTGTGGATGGACTTGCACAGTCTGAGGTGTCGGATGGCCTTTGGTGGTCTGCTACGGGATGTGGTCGACTCGTGTGTTCTGCTGTGTGAGGGTCGCATGGTTGGCTTCTACATCAGAGACGGCATAACTTTTATCGACCACACAGATGCCCTGGATGAAACGCAAAGGATATGTGAAGCCAGCGGACGCACAGATGTGACTTCACACAAGCCAATCACAAAGAAGCGGAGATCTCTCTCATTTGCCGTCTGTCTGTCGTCTGTCGCAGGGCCCTCACGGCAGCTCGCGAGGCATAGGGGTATATCCTGCTAGGAACACATGCCGCGCAGGAAGCGATAATGTTCCTGTGTACGAGATATGCTTTTTGTTGTGTTCAGGGGTTGCATTTAGGTGTCTAGGCACCCGCCAGAAACAAGCCATGGTTACCAAGGAGACGCAGGCCCACCCGATGCTCCTCAATCTGCTCGACGACCTCCAGCCACACCTCAACAAGGCAAGCAACACACATTGAATTTCCATGGTAGCACAAAGGCACACAGGCACCACCAGTTAGTATATATTGCCACCAGTTGTATGTTTCTATATTGATTGCACTGTATTGTAGATTGGCGAATACGTAGCCTAAGGCTGCAACCCATCCAAGAGGCGATACGATACTGCCGGACCAGACAAACTGCACTAAAGGTATGATTGGTTGCGATCGGGTTTCAAAAGACCGCGATATCTGCTTTCAGCGATAAAGTGCTAGACATGTGCTAGTAGGTCGTTCTCGAGAAAAGTGAGAAGTCAACCATGGCGAACAGAAGTCGGATGTGTGTGCGTGCAAGGTGCCACGACCTGCACTAGCACCACCACCTCTAGGACTGCGACGCTCCGCGAGGCAATTTGCCGCGAGGGGTCATAAGGACACTGACCGCGTTTCAGAGGTTACGTCGAAACGGATGAAAGTCTACATGAACGGCAGGGATTTTATGAATGATGACAAAGGTGCAGCGCCGTTTGTAATTCGCACTAGCTTCTCTACCGAGGTTGAAGCCAAGGTGTGAAAGATGGTGACGTCACACAGATATTCACACATACAGACATGCACCAAAGACACATATTATGCGCACATGCGCAAAAACGACACAACACACACCACATACCACGTCTGCGTGTGTGTGTGTGTGTGTGTTGTTGTGTGTGTTTGTGTGTGTGTGTGTGTGTGTTGTGTGTGTTGTTCTGTGTTGTGCCTCCTGTGTGTGTCGTAGTTTGAGAACCATGAGTGTGGCGTTCGCGACTATGCCAGCGACATGGAGTGTACCATGTTTTCTGGCGTCGACAACTGCCCCAACCCGTGGCCAGCGGACAGCGGCAGCGTACCTGTGGGACACGTAGCGAGATGTCTCTTTGCAGGAACACGTATCTATCAGAGATGTTATCAGAGCGCCGCCGGAGAAGACCTTTCAACGGTAGGCGCTGCGACGACGGCAGGAATGGCAATGAGAACTCCAACCACAACCCTCAAGCCACCACCAATGCCACATGCGCTGATCGCGCGCCCCAATTCGTGAATCAGCTCATCGGCATGAGCACGGCTGCCGGCGTCGTCCTATGTACATCGAGGGCTGTTATGGCTATTCCATCTGACGGCAGGTCTGCCCCTGGCTGTGCTGGGAATTCGACGCTCGGCCTCATCATCGAGTTTTATACAGGGTGTGTAGGGATGGCTATCAGATCCGGCAGGAGGTCGACATGCTCCTATGTACATCGAAACTCCGGAGGAGACGCTGTGGAGACAGTTCATATTGTTCTTCGACGAAAGTGGGGGCTGTTATGGCTATTCTATCTGACGGCAGGTCTGCCCCTGGCTGTGCTGGGAATTCGACGCTCGGCCTCATCATCGAGTTTTATACAGGGTGTGTAGGGATGGCTATCAGATCCGGCAGGAGGTCGACATGCTCACTCTGCAAGAGGTCTACTTCGTCGGAACTCCGGAGAAGACGCTGTGGAGACAGTTCATATTGTTCTTCGACGAAAGTGGGGGCCTGAAGGTCAATCCATGGATTGAGGGGGTGCCCGTCGCGCTGAGCAGTATCAAGAAGGGTCACAAAACACTCTCTCTCAAACTGCACCTCTCACGTGAGTCAGCCAGGTTTAATACTGTCCGGTGTGTATGGAGGAATGTTCAAAGGACACCTGGGTGCAGTGCCCGCATTGGGCCCGCGAGGAACCTGCCGCTCGAGCGCATTGCTTGAGATCAAGGCAGGGCCAGTTAGGATTAGTATTGTGGTCCCTACAAATAGACATCCATTGAGTCCCTTCATTTCTTACCACACACCTATACTTATCACCTTTTCAATCAATCGACCCGACGTCTCTACATTCTTATCATGTGCACCTTTATGGTCGCTCACAGAGGAATACGTGTGTATGCTTGGATGTATGGATGTGCTTGTATGTGAAAGACCCACGTCATACACACACGCCTGCAGAGACAAAGTGCTAAGGGGGTGGGGTTCACGCTATTGAGATAGCGCTTACTCGATGCTCTACTAAGGACACTTCTCGATGGAAGACACTCACGATTCAACGACAGGCACACGCACACGAATAAGGTCTCACGAGGTCACAAGTAGTTACACACGCACTGCACCACACCTGCTGATGACGGCAGGCTCTGACACGACTGATGGACACACTCACTCACTCACTCACGACAACTGCTGAGTCCAGCAACCTCGGCAACACAGTTCTCCGTCTGCTTCTTGGCACGCTTTGACGCCTCGGGCTTGCTTGGTTTGACTTCCTTCTTCAACAATCAAGCAGGCAGTTTCACAGTCGTTGGGTAGGAGTCGCCGAAGGGATGGGAATGGCTGGAATCAGTGAAAAATCGACAAGTACCGAAAAGATCAACGAATCGGCCATTCTGTCCTTCGGGATGATCGGAATATATCGTAATGGCCAATCGGAGCGCCAGCTCTCGCTCTGGAGCCTTTCGTCCCGCTCCGGCGCCGTTCGTCTCTCGCTCTGGAGTGCGAGGCCTCTCGCTTCGGAGCGGCAGGAGTCGTTTAACGAGACTCTAACTCTGATTCTCGACGTCATTTCATGTTGTTTCGTACTATTGCCGCCGCTGCGACGGGCCTTCCCTCCCTTTTCTAGCGAAGCGTTATCCATCATCATTGACAGGGAGATTCGAGTGAGTCCATGCACTGAAGTGAGTCACCCTGCAACAAAAGGCACTGCTTTGCTGTGTCTTTACTTCATCAGCGCCGACCCGCTCACTGGCCGTCCCACCGACGCGCATACACACAAGACGACAGATGGCCGGCCGCTCTTCTGGATGGAGCGGCGGTCTGTGGGCAGCTGTGAGGTTACTGCGGGGGTCGATGGATGTCGGCAAGACGGCTCGGCTGGGGGATGATGACTGGCAAAAGAGATGGATGGATGCAGTGATGCGGCGGCCCGTCCAAAGCAGCGAATGAGAGTGTATGTGAGCTGTCAGTGTTGTGCGTGTGGAGGTGTCGTGTGTGGCCGTGCTGGAGGGGTACAGGTACGGTTTGTGTCGCCGCCTGTGGGGCCCGCCTGCCTATGTGTAGCCATCTGACCAGTCAGCTGATCTATATGCCCTGTAGCCGTCTGACCTGCTCTCTCTCCCTCGGCTGTGGATACTTCTGCTCACGTCGTGTATGCGGTGTATTGTGCCTCGTGGTGTGTGTGAATATGTGTGTGTGTGTGTGTGTGTTTGGCTTCGCAATGCTGCTGGTCAGCGAGGAAATGTGATGCGCAGACCGTTCGTCATCCGTATAACGTGCAACTACACAAATATCCGCACGCACCCTCTCTCCCATCGCGCATCCTGACGACTGATGAAGCACGTCGGCAAAATTCATGAGCTCTCAGCTCAGGTCTGTACCTAGCATATGCACACGCATCCACCATCCATACACGTCTTCGAACAGCCTCGAGGCTCAATGCCGATGACCTGACTATACACCGTCCGCTGCTGTTCGCCTAGCACACAGTCACTGACGAAGAAAACACACAGATGAGCCAAGCAGTCGCCCAAGCAGTCACACGTGTGTCTTCTTAGCTGACACAGAAGCGCGCAAGAGCCTGTGCGATGGCACCGGAAGCGGCAATGAAGGCACTGAAGATGGCAATGAAGATGGCACTGAAAGCCGTAACGAGAGCGGCAAGCTCAGCAACGGTCAAACTATTCGCTAGTGCAGAAGAGAAGGAAACAAACAAATGCGTGTGTGTATGTGTTTGTCTGTGTGTCTGACCCCTGATTCGCTCAGTAATGCTGCCGCTTCTCAGCTGTCGTTCGTATGCCTCAGCCTGCAAACTCGCCACCCTGGCCTCCCCTAGAAAGTGACAAATAGAAGCCGCTGCTTGTGTTTCTTCTCTGTATGATGCCTACGTTCAGGTTTTTCCATGCGAACCTTGCGGGACTCCTCGACCAGCTCGGCCTCTGACAGAATAAAGGGGAAAAGGCATCTTACATATTAGCACACGCATGGCTGTACTCTGTTTTCTGAGGCTGCCCAGCTGAGCATCTAGCTGAGTCAGTCTGTTGGCAGTGATGTTCAGGTCGAGCCTCTCCCCTTCCGTGAGGTCGCCCTTTTGAAGAGATTTCAGCCGGGCATCCGCAACCTCCCTCGCCGCCTTCGTCTCTTTGAAGAGGGCTTCCAGCATTTTCATGGTCGTCTTACTTTCCTCGTCTAGATCCCACGGCAAAGAAAAACGAATAGATTTTTCTGCCTCGGGTGTGTTCTTGCCTGGAACGGATCCGGAAGGCGAGAATCAATAAGAGACCCGAACTTGATGGTCTCTGAATGCAGACAGACACAGACAGACAGACAGACACAGACAGACACGCACAGACAGACAGACAGACACAGACAGACACGCACACACAGACACACAAACAGCAGTCAGGAAATGCAGGTGATCGATCGAATCGAATGTCTTGCTTGCCCCGGCTCGTACCCTGCGGCTGCGCCGTCTGCAGAGGAAACAATGGGTACATGCCTGCCTCCGTCGTGAGATATCACGTACCAGCTCCTGCTCCTCATCCAAGTTTTCGATCATCCTCCTGCATGATGGTGAAGTGCTTCGATGCAAAGACGGCACGCTGTGGACTAGGAACGCATTGCTGGGACGGTGGGCCGCAGACGCCCAGGGAGTGGACAAGACTCTCACGAGCACGATGATGAAAAAGCACATCATCCTGGTGCCTGCAACACACACAAATATCAATCCCAAGACAGCCAGGACCTGGGGACCGTGAATTCAAGTACCTTGCAGATCTCTTGGACGCTAAGCTCGCACGAAGGAGGCGGGAGGAAAATGAGCAACGCCGCGGTTATCATGGTGATGTTGCTGGTGCCATTCGCATCCCTCTCCGCGGCGTCGGTGTATTCACGAAGCGCCTTTCGGAGTGCGCCTTGCCCTCTCTCTGCAGTTGGCCTTCCTGAGCGTCGTCTGCGCGGCTCGTCTGTGCACCTAGGACCCGGTACTCACGCAGCTCACCGACTGTCCCCCCGACCAGCCTCGCCCACCGGCAGCCAGACACAGAATGAGGAGGCCAAGAACACACAGGTCGGCGGGGGAGATCCATTCACCATGCACATCCGATGGAATGGATATGTGGCTGTGTGTGTGCGCACCAGCCTCCCTGGGCGGCTTCGCCGGATGACGCGCTGCGACTGCCTCGATATATCGTTGTAAGCGACCAATAGTCGACACACAACTCACACGCGATTACACAACGTGTGTGTGTGTGTGTGCAGGACAGCGATCCTGCCGCTACAGGTCGGTCAGTGCACTCGTCTGTCTTGTGTGTTTGTCTACGGTTGTGTCTGCGTGAGAGTGTATGCGTGCAGCCAGGTTGGATTTCATCAGAGACGAGTTCAACCAAATCAGCAAAGAAATCGCGGACAGGCTCGTAGAGCGCTGGAACTTGAGACATGCACAGAAAGACAAGTAAGTAGGCCTCGATGTCTGTCTGTCGTTGCACAACACTGACGCACCAACCAACCACTGCGCACACGTCCGTCTGTCTGTCTGCGGACCGACGATGCCATCCCATGCAGCCCGGAGGCGTGGGCAGCGTACGTGAAGGTCCACGACAACGAGATGAACTATCTCCTCGCCCAGCAGGATCAGTGGCTGGGGCTGTGTACGTGTCGATTTTTACCACAGATACACACATACCAGCACAACGGATGCATGTCCGACAACTAACACGTTTGTGTTTTTGTGTTCATTCGGTCAGGGACAGGCGAGCTGTTGTACACCTGGCAGTACGTCGGACGTGGCCGATACGTCGAAGACAATGGTACGTAACAACACAACCACCCGAGGGCCGCATACATAATTTGTGCGAGTGCACAGCACACAGACACGTGCCGCAAATCGCACCACCTACCCAATACACAGGCACTCACACGTGTGTGTGTTTGTTTGTTTGTGAGTGTTTGTGCGTGCAGACGAGTCGCAAGAGAAGAGCGAGAGAATGAAGAAGGACAAGGCGCTGAGATGAGCCTGAGATGAGCCTCTTGTGTACATTTCGGTGTTAGCCTTCGAAGTGGTGTCTTGAGAGAAGTGGTGTCGTTTTTCCTTACGTGTACGTGTCGTTTTTGTTGTGTGACACCTGACACCGCCGGCCGGCAGATCCATGAACAATCAGTACGATTAATTGAATATTCAACCAGCACACACACACACACACAGAGATCCGACGCCGCGGAGAGAGATGCGAATGGCACCAGCAACATCACCATGATAACCGCGTTGCTTTTCATCCTGCTCCCTCTGTGCGCCAAAGACGTGCAATGTTATGGGGCCTGTGGGTGGGTGGTGAGGGCACACGAACACCACACACACACTCGTGTCTCTTCCGCGTGTGTGCCTTGTTGTAGGTGTGATGTGCCTGGGTGCGCGCGCACGTACAAGCCTTTTCTGCCTGCAGACCTCGCAGAAGTAGTGCTGGTGGCCGGGCTGCACCAACCCACACACACGACATCCATCCATCCATCCACCCACACGACACGTGCATCACTCTGTCTCCTTGCTGACTTGTCCGAGTATCTCTTCGTCGAAGAAGCTCTCCACACACGTGTGAAGCGACAAACGCGGCGCCTAAACACACACACATACGGACACACACGCATGGATGGATATGGGCACACGAACGACATGAGGGTCCTGTCCTCCGTCCACACACACGTGTATGGATGGTGGGGGGGGAATCCGTGGCAGACAGACAGACAGACAGACAGGCGGACACTGATTGCTTTGTATAGCTAGAACGAATGAATGAATGGATTGGTTTGGGTGGTGGGTGGAGCGATGGTTGATGGATGGATCGCTTCCTTGCCTGCCTGCCTGCGTATCTGCATACCTTCCTGTCTGCCTGCACGTCTGTCTGGCTGCCAATACTTTGTCGTCTCATCGCGTGTGTGAGTGATCATGATCCCCATGTGTGTGTCCGTGTCTTTGTGGTGTGCAATAACACAAATACACACATGTATACCCGCGCGCCATCCGCGCGGGGCGTGTGTGACTGCCTGCCTGCCTGGATGAATGGATGGATGGATGGATGACAGAATGGCTGCTGCTGGATTGACGAGTGTGCCCATGTGTCTTTGTTTGTGACTGTGAGGGAGTGAGGGAGTGTTGGTTTTGCCCGACCGACCGAGTGAGTGATTGACAGACAGACGGACAGAGCCCCTGACCGGCTCTCTGCCTGCATTGCATGTGTGCCATCCGTGTCCGCCCACCCACACGTGTGTGTACACATGAGGATGCCAATTAACGCAACTCTTTGTCCCTTCGACCGAGTGATCATTCGTGCGCCTCTCTGCTCTATCAAATCACTCCGAGCACCCCACTCGGCATCACGCATGGTAACTGCACAGTCAGCCAGGCAGCCAGGCACCCTCACACAACGACCGGAGCGTCACACCAAAATCGGCCGGCAGATGATCGGAGCGCATGAGATGCGCTCACACCCACACCCACAGGCAGCCGGCCCTGAGGACGGGCAGGCATCTCTTCACACACACCTAGCGGTATGCGATGCGTCTTCAAGAAACGATCAGCTACAGAGACGATGACAGCCAGCACGCGCACACACACAGTGCAGGGCGACATTCAACAACATGGCGACAGACGACAAGCATATCGCTGCTCACCCACCAGTGTTGATGGATGGATGGATGGATCAGCCGCCGCTCTCCGCCTCAGCTGCGCCACCCTCACCTGCCGAGGGCACAGCACAGACACAGACACACACACACACGCACGCACAGCCATATATGTGATGCAGATCGACGTGGGGGCCTCTGTGGTGTGTGACTGTGCCCTCCCTCTATCAATACCGTCGTCACTGTCGTGATCTTGCTGCTGATGCTGCTACTGTACTTCTCCGTCGAATACGAATGGCGCCACCGCCCTCAACGCCACGCGAGCCAGCTGATTGGTGACCGGGAAGCGGTGCTTGAAGGCGCCACTCCTACACACAGCCGCCTCAGTGGTCTCGACACACACCCACACTGCACACCAGGGGGAGAAACAGAAGCACTAAGGATATTGCCAGCAGCACTCCCTCTCTGCCACCCTACCGTTGTTGTTTGTTAATCTGCTGATGCCAATCCATGCGACAAAGGAGTGGGTGCTGTTGGTCAGCACCAGCCGTCGCACAATACCCTCGTAGCTCACTGTCGTGGTGCATCCGGCCACCGGTGTGTGGGGCGACTCGGTCAGCAGGCCATCCAGACGGCCACCACCGACATTCCTGAACCAACCACACACACCGTCAACGGCTCTCCCCTCTTGCCTTGAGTGCCATCGATGTGTTGTCACCTGTTGAGTCTTATCGATGTGCGGTTGGTCTGGCGGGTAAGGCTGAAGTGGTGGAGGATCACGCGCTTGGCAAATGACGACAGAGACGCATCGGTGACTTGATCGTCGGTCGACTCCCATGTGCCGTAGTGGGCCGAGTAGAGGATGCCCTCACGCACCGGTGGGTCGTGTGGCTGTCGGTGCTGCCGATACAGGTGGCCGGCAGGGAGGGGCGGGTCGACCTGCAGCCGGAAGCCAGGCTGGTCCTTGATGGCCCGCACCTCACCATTGCCCTGGAACAGCTGCAGGCAGCTGCCGTCACCGAGAAGGACGTGGCGGCCGACCATCTTGAGGTGCGCCAACACACAGGGAGCCGACACATACGCCTACACACAGGACCACACACACAGACAGAGAGAATGAGGCCCTCTCCCTCCCCTCCCAGCCCCTCTGTTTGCTGGCTCACCGTTTTGTTTGTGTGTGTGTTGATGTCATCGGCTGTGAGGATGACAGGCAGGTCACAGTTGCCGCACTGCCCCGCCACCTCAATCACCTCGCTCATCTCACCCCAGCCCCCCTCCTCCACCACAAACAAACCCGCCAGCAGATCATGTTTGCCGAACTGATCGTCGTCGAACCGCAGCAGCTGCACTTGCTGCCCATTCACCGCCCGCCGCAGCCCCGCCTGTGAGCCCAGCGAATGGCGGAGCCGATCTCTCAGCTGCGCCGCTCCGAAGAGGTCCCTGAGCCACGTGCAGGTGACCCTCAGCCGCAGGATGTCCTTGATGCTGCTGAAGAGGTAGAAGGTGCGGCGGCCGACGAAGATATACGAGAAGGTGCTGCTGCTGCTGCTGCTGCTCTGGTTGCTGCATCTGGGTAGCTATGATGTGTTCGACGACAGCCTGCACAGAGCGACAGAGCCGACAGAGGATCGTGTGCATCAAGCATGCTGCTCATTGATCTGTCTGCGGCTCACCTCGTTCGATGCTTAGACGGACAGATCAGCAGGCAGAGAACTGAATGCCCCACCACCACCAGCAGCAGCAGCGGCAGATGAAGAGGCCGCCATCACCCCTCAACGACACGCCTGTAGCGATAGGCCGACAGAGAGAGAGAGAGAGATGCCAACAGAAAAGGACGGCGAACGCATTGAGGCCAATGGATCAGTGAGCGCCTCAGTGAGTCCGTCAGTGAGTGGTCGACCTCCCTCACCTCTGTTTGGCTCTCAGCTCAATGGCCCGCTTCCACGGGGCTAAAGGGTATGAATCCCTGCGTCAAACACAAATTTTGTGAGCCCGCAGATCTTTCTCCTTTTGTTCGAGAGAAGATAGCCGTGGGACAGAGATATCGCACAATGCAGCACTGCAGCAGCCGAGAGATGGTTAAAGTAACAGAGGCAATGTCAGAGTCTGTTCCAGCGGGACAGGATGGCGCGACCAGTGACAGCATGCCACACTGGTCGCTGGACGGTCCGTCCTGCCACACTGGTGGTCTGCGTCTGCTAAGCTCGCACTATAGTTTCACGTGTGTCCCTAGGGGTAAGAGCGGGTTGGAGCTGAGGGCGTAACAGTTTCTCAACACCTTTTTCCCTCCCCTCCTCACTGCGCAGGTCGTGACGAAGCTCGTGATGACGTAGAGGTGAGACCGCACCTCTTCGTCATCACGACCTTCGTTACGACGTGCGCAGTCATCGGGGCGGAAGGCCTCCGCGCGTCGTCCGACTCGCTCTCTTCCCCGGCCCTTCTTCTGCTACGCTGGCGGACGTCGGCGGCTGACAGGTACGGACGGCAACAGAGAAGCCGACAGGCAGCAGACACCACACACGACGTATTGCACGTGACAGAGAGGGAGATGCGCAGATATCAGGGCAGGATGCACACGAGCACACGTGTGTGGTGGGTGTTTCCTGCAGGCAGTCTGCAGGCGTCCCGAGATGAGCACCGTACGAGCTGTGTGAACGCGCGGCGGTGCTCATGGCGTGACGGCGAGCCGCTCCTCCGCTTCTGTCTCTCACTTGATGTCTCACTGAGGCCTGCATGCGGCGGGGCGACTCGTCCACTGCCCCTCCACTCGACCACCTGACGCTTCAACACACTGACGACAGCAGTAGTCACTGACGGCTGGCGGCTCAAGACACTCCCAATCGCTCCTGACCAGTGCGCTGCCAACACGCACGTCTCATCCCTCGTCTGTGCCCAGCCGACGGCCGGACGCCCCCGCCTGATGACCGCCCACATGCCCCTCTGGATGATATCGGTGGCTGACGGGCTGTGAGTGGGTCGGCGCTGCAAGGCGGCATTGGGGCAGACGCATGGCCTATCGCTAATAAGCCATGTGGCTGCCGGATGTCTATTTGTAGGTCAGTGAGGGGGGAGGGAGGGGGGCACACACACAACCCTTATTGTGCCTGTCAGCATTCATTGTCAATAATTGTCAGTGCTCCGTTTCAGCTCACATTTATTGACACATCATTGATGTCTCGCAGCGTGCTCATAGGAACACACACTGTCCACAAAGAACTTCCTTGACCGAAAGGGCCAAAAAACCTCTCCTCCCCAACATAACGGGTCCATCACTCACACACATAAATGAATCGAGCGTACACACGCAACACGCGCCACAACAAAACAGCAAAACATTTGGCGTTGGTCCGTCAGTTGTGTGACGATTTGAGCTCTGGTGGGCAGTCTGGCTGCGAGTGGGGGTGGGCTTTGACGAAGGCCTCGTGGCGATTGAGCCGCTCGGTGATGCCGCTGATGAGAGGGAACTCAGACATCGGCACGCTGAACCGATTCGCATTATACACCTACAAACGCACCAGCACACACACGCCCCCAGGTGACACACGACATACGGAGGCTCATCTACACGTGCAGACAGAGGCTATCTACCTGTGGGGCGAGGAAGACGTCGGCAAGAGTGATGCCGTTGCCCACACAGTAGTCGCCACTCGTACTCGCCAGCAGCTTCTCAATGCCTACACACACAAAGGGCGAGTGGTGGGTGACCACTGGTATCGGGTGTCTGTCTGTATGTGTGTGAATGTCCTACCTCTGAATCTGTCTGTGATGACCTCGCGAGACCAGTCGTTGCGGATCTTCATGCGCTCATCATCTAACACACACACACACAGACACACACACACACAGAGAGAGAGAGAGAGAGAAAAGGGGTCTTGGTTGAGAGGGAAACGCACTAATGCGCTCACCGGTAATGGTGGGTTGGTATTTCTGGCAGAAGTCAGCCACCATGGCGGACACCCGCAAGTTCTGAATCGGCTGGATGTCACACGCGACGATCTCAGCAATCTCCCTCACCTGCACAGCACAGACAGATAAACACTGGTGTGTGTTTGTGTGTCAATGGACGATGTGTCTGCTCACCGCGGCTCTCTTGTGCGGATCGTTTGGCAGCAGCTTGGGCGCCGACGGCCGGGTGTCTTCCAGGTACTCGATGATGGCCGTCGACTGACGCAACATCTGCACACACACACACACACAGGCAGTGCATCCATCGTGTGCAGAAAGGAGGCCATTCCTTCATGCCCCCTCCCTCTCCCTCCCTCGATCCACCATGCACTCACTCACGTGCCCATCAATCATCAGCGAAGGCACCTGAAGCAGACACACACCACACACAGAGAGAGAGGGCGAATAAATGAATTCCTGCATGTGCCGCTATCTATCCACCGTCGTACCATTGCGGACGGGTTCACAGCCATGTAGGTGGGGTCTTTCTGCTCGCCCGTGTAGATGTTGACGAACTTCATCCTGACAGACACACGCAGGAGGGAGGAGGAGAGTGCCGCAGACAGAGTGAGTGAGTGCATCGGTCTGTCTTCTCTCTCTGTGCTGTGCTGTTCTGTGCACGGCCACATGTGCAGCTCACTCGTAAGGGATCTTTTTGATGTTGAGGGCGATTCGCACGCGGTAGGCGCACGACGAGCGGAAATACGAGTAAAGCACCGTCTCGGACATCTCTATATATAGAGATCTCTCTCTGTGAGTGGCTCTCGCTCCTGGCTTCCTGTCTGCAGACTGGCAGAAACAACATGACCACACGCAGCGGACGAGAATGAATGATGAGTGCCCGTCAGTCAAGGCCAACGTACGTATGCCGACGCGATGGCGTACCTTTTGTCAGAAGTGCAAGTCGGTCCAGGGTTTAGGGTCTAGGGTTCATAGACCGACGATCCACTGATCTGTGAGACAGGACGGCTGTTGAGTCTTTGTCCGTTCC